AGAAGAAGAAGAAGAAGAAGAAGAAGAAGAAGAAGAAGAAGAAGAAGAAGAAGCTACGGCTGGATTCTTAAACTTTGACGCCCCAAGACCCGAATTCATACACTTTGATTTGATGCATCTAGAGCTGAATTTATACACTTTGATTTGATGCATCTAGAGCTGAATTCATACACTTTGATTTGATGCATCTAGAGCTGAATTTATACACTTTGATTTGATGCATCTAGAGCTGAATTCATACACTTTGATTTGATGCACCAAGAGCTGAATTTATACATTTTGACTTTGGTGCACCATGAGCTTAATTTATACACTTTTAGTTGATTGATCAAGAGCTGAATTCATACGCTTTGATTTGATGCACCAAGAGCTGAATTTATACACTTTGATGTACCAAGAGCTTAATTCATACACTTTGACTTGCACCAATAGCTTAATTTATACACTTTGAGTTGATGGATCAAGAGCTGAATTCATACACTTTGATTTGATGCATCAAGAGCTGAATTTATACACTTTGAAGAACCAAGTGCTAAATTTGTGCACTTTGATTTGAGCTGAATTTATACACTTTCATTTTGATGCATCAAGAGCTGAAATTGTACTCTTTGATTTGATGCACCAAGAGCTGAATTTATACACTTTGATGCACTAAGAGCTGAATTCATACGCTTTGATTTGAAGCATCAAGAGCCGAATTTATACACTTTGATTTGATGCACCAAGAGCTGAATTTATACATTTTGATGAACCAAGTGCTAAATTTATACACTTTGATTTGATACACCTAGAGCTGAATTTATACACTTTCAGTTGATGCATCAAGAGCTGAAATTGTACACTTTGATTTGATGCATCTAGAGCTGAATTCATACACTTTGATTTGATGCACCAAGAGCTGAATTTATACACTTTGATTTGATACACCTAGAGCTGAATTTATACACTTTCAGTTGATGCATCAAGAGCCGAATTTATACACTTTGATTTGACGCACCAAGAGCTGAATTTATACACTTTGATGCACCGAGACCTGATTTTATACACTTTGATGCACCAAGAGTTGAATGTATACACTTTGATGCATCAAGAGCTGAATTTATACACTTTGAGTTGATGCACCAAGAGCTGAATTTATGCACTTTGGTTTGATTCACCAGGAGCTGAATTTATGCACTTTGATTTGATTCACCAGGAGCTGAATTTATAGGTGTACACTTTGATGCACCAAGCCCTGACCTCCCTTTGTGCTCCTCACGGGGCGAGATCAGAACTCCCAATGACCAAACCACACAACGGGACCAGGGCCGGCTCCGACAACACGACAGTCTGTTGAATGAAGCCAGCAAGTCGCAAAGTCTTCTTTTACAATTTGTAGTTTTCCTCTATTGTTTCCAGGAACTCTGAACCCGCCCCCACCCCACTTTTTCCTCCGCTACCCCCGCCCCCTCT